TCAATGTTTGGCTATGATGTGATGTAAAATCTGCTTCAGAGATGGCATTACTGGAGGTAACGGTATAGTGAGAATTTGTGTGCTAATAATATGTGTTGATAATAATCCATTGGATTCTTGTCTCAAATACACTTACTTGAGATTCAAAGCTAGATAATTAAATTAACTGTACACTGTCGAATTACAAGTCATATACATGCTAACAGTAATTGCACACAATGCGGGCGTGGTGTTGATTGCCCGTAATTCTCCTCAAAGTTTTTGAACATAGAAAAAAACGTAAAATCGCAATTGATAACTTTGAACATAACCTGTCTTCCGAAAGGACAACATATAAATAACCCGTCGGGTACAGCTAATAGATGTACTTCATTGGCAGCAAATTCAGTAATGATTTTCTCACACAGCAAATATCACTGATTTTATACACATGCAGACCAATACACATAATCATCCAGGTACGGTCTTGCTATTGAACTAAATAACCAACTTTCTTCTCAGAGACTCAGAGATCAAAACTATAGACAACTCGGCTTCAAAAAACGTGTGCAACTAACAGAGGGACGCTCACAATGATCCTAGTGAGCAAAGTGGAATTACTGTTTGCTACCTAAGACTACCTAGTATGCAAGATGACATCTTATAGGTTTTTTTTTGTCGTTTTATATGTTTTTTACATAATAACCGTGCGGGTGCCACAGAAAGTAGCTACGCCACTGGTACCAATTATATTATTTTAGAATTACAGCAATATACAAATTAATGAAAGTAACGGTTGTGATCTGCCAGGTCGCCGTTTCCGTACTCAACATCATATAAACCATCTTTAAAAAAATTCTAGCCTCTAAACACTGCCGTTACTCGGAGGGTTTGTGGACTGACAGTTAGTTCAATAGGTAACGCTGCTCATTTTAGCCAGTTTTCTTCTAAGTGAACCGACTGTGAACTTGAACACTCGCCTACATATCAACCTCCGCGAGTGGTATTAAACTACAATAACGTTTCCACTAATTTCGCATAATTTCTACGGCCACGGCGAGACTACAGAAAATCGTCGTAACCATTTTCCGATTCATAACGAATGTTATAAATACACGATAAACATCTCGCATTCGATGTCGCATTCGCTATTATTATAGCTATTAAGAAGCTTGGCACAGGATATGGAAAAATCTGAAAACAAAATAACAAATAGCACACACGAGCACCACATTTTTGAGGAAACAAACTTGAATTTTTTGAATAAGACAACTTGAACTTGAAATGAGTGACTTGTGTGAATAAATATCATATAGTGTTGTCAACAGGTCTTTCAAAATGCACATGTAAGTAGGTTACTATTATTAATTCCTTTTTATGCACCGCGAAAAGCATATTTGATTAATTTAAAATTCGTGGAATTTTGCTCGTGAATCTGAAAATTTGAAATAAAAATACATGTTTTGTGTTATCTTCATAATCCATCTGGAATTTGTTTCTCTTGCTCTATCTATTGGTCTGTCCGTTGTCATCCCGTAATAACAACAGCTACAAAAACTCCGATAGTCGTCGTTGAGTGAGTATATTCTTAAAAGCTCTTGCATTGTTGAGCGTTATTTTTTCCAACAAGTCTAATTTTATATTTGTGCCTTGCTTTGATAAAAGATAACTTTTGATCATTCACTGACTCTGGTTAATAAGCATCATTATTTTTTCTTATTATATCAAATTCTTCCTTTTCCCTTTTCCTACGCTTGCCTTAGAAAGTGGAACAAGTCTGAAAGCCAAATTAAAAACAACACGCACGAGTTAGACATTTTTGAGGACACAAACATGAACTTCTTAAAATACAATCTGAAATGTGTGGATTGTATAATAAACATAAGGTAGTGCTTTGAACAGAATTTTCGACCTGCATATGTAAGTAGGTTGTCATCATTTTGAATTACATACTTCGTTTAAAGTAACTTGACTATTTTGCTAGATCTACCTAACCTGCTTGTCAAATTTTAATACTATTTCTGAGTTAATGTGTGTTTAAAATAATTGTAGTGGATTAAATTTGTTACACAAGAGTTTGGAAATCACTGTCAAGAATTTCCAAAAGTTCTCTACGTAATTAAAATATTTGTTCAAACCCATATTTTCTATTATTGCGTTGAATATACAGACTATAATCACAAGACTGTTACTAGTTAACTTTTTTTTGCAGAGTGCTACTTTGTCATTCGGAAAATATGTCCATCTTTTGAAAGCACACAAATATTTTTTTACACCCGCCCGTTACATGTAAGTGTTGTTCGATCTTAATTATGTGAAGTCCTTCTCGAACTAAATATTTAGAATACATGATGTAGTACCCTCGTAGTGTACCAAACCCCCACGATTTCAAAGCGTGCACGCAGCGAAGAAAAGCGACCCCGCGCTCCCCCTAAATTCCTCCCATCTGGCCGCTTACAAACACTGATTATCTTCAAATCCAAGTTGTTGCAACAATTGGGTGATACATGCAAAAATTGGGTGATACATAGGTAGTGAGGGTGCTATTTATTTTGACGAGGACTTCACATAATTAAGGTCGAACATCACTGACATGTAAGTTCGTTTGATCATGTAATTATGTTCCGTCCTTGTCGAAGTAAATATTTAGAATACATAATGTAGATGTTCAAGGCTACTTGCAGCAACATACGAATAACGATCTGCAATAGTGAACGATAACTTATACACAACCACAGAAATTGTACGCATTGTATGTGTCAACTAAATGTATATTTCCATTGAAACCACTCAAGTTAGGGTCTTTAGCAACAGGTAATATGACGTACATAGGTTCAAAAATTACCATCCGTTACATGGTAACAAGCAAATAACGTAATAACATAATGTTTAAGGTGTGGAGACTGGGTTCACATGAAATGCCACTTGAGCAAAGCTATTGTTTAGCGAGGGGAGGAAGGTAGGGGGAACGCGGTGCCGCTTTCCTTCGCTGCGTGCGCGCCTTGAAATCGTGGGGGTTTGGTATACTACGAGGATACTACATTATGTATTCTAAATATTTACTTCGACGAGGACGGAACATAAGTATAAATATGACTAGAATCCATGATTTCATATTATTATATCATATTATTCTCGCGGCATTTGGCAACAGAAACATCGGTACGACGGTAAGGTCGCGGTTATACGAGTACTCCGAGGTAGCAAGTGGTAGGCAACGGGCAACAACAACGTTGGCATATTGTCCGGTTTTTCTCTCATTTTGAGGAAAAGCACCCGGCACAACACATAAATGAAATCAGGCCAGTGGTCAATTTCAATGAAAATTCATACAGTAACAGCAAATGTTCCAATGGGCGCAAAGCCAAGAAATGTTTTCTACGGGCTGTTAAAGTTTGGTGCCTTCCCTCTCGTGAGAACGTCTGCCTGCTCTATTTCATGAAACCTAACTCATCTTTATTGTATACTTAACGATATAAGACCTGTTCGTACAGCAGTCGCCAACCTGTCAGTGACCGTGTCCATGATCCCGCTACACAAATTCCGTTCACTCTGCTACTCTATATAGACGAAATTTAAACGACCGGATCCCAGACACAGTCACCGACCACTGTACGAATAAACCTATAATAAAAATCACGTAAACACATACAATAAATTTAGGGAGCGTCCCAAATAAAATAGAAAGTAGTTTAATAAAAAAACAACATATTCGAAAACAGCCATATTCATATTTTATAGGTGTGTATTTCTCTTATTTGGAGATACACAGAGTGTTGCAGAATTCCGTGGAACAAGAAGCATGTTATTTAATTGCATTAGATACTTGGAAAGACCTTTCGAAAAAAAGAGGATTAAAGGATTTTGAACGTCATTTGTTTAGTTATTTCATCGTTTGCCTGAAAAATTTAATATCTCTGAAGGCTTTGACTTTCACCATTATTCGTAGTTTTTAATTGAACTTCGAAAAGAGAATCAAGAAATACGTGAACTCAATAACCACATAGCCGTTTAAATAAACTGCTTAAAGCCTAGTATTAAAAGAAAGCTCATGATACGGAAAACGCGATATAGTAAAATATACAGGGCTTTCCATTCGAAATATTTAGATAAAAACATTTTGTGTATTTTAACAGATCATATTATCCGCACTTTCCGTACTTAGGCTAAAAGTTCATTCTTTCTCTAAAATTCAATGAAAAACTACGCAAAATGACGGACCTAAAGGTCTCACGTGTAGAGATTTTTTCAGACAAATGATAAAAAAATTAAACAAATGACAACCTACAGTATATCTTGTCAACCTTTTTATTTTCGAAAGGTCTTTCATGGAATTATGGAACACCCTGTATATTCCCAAATATAATTTAAAGATTTCGAATATTTTATATACTTTCAATTTTCGTTGGGAGACCCTGTATTATATTGTATGTGTTCAACTGGTTTTTATTATATATTTATGTCTCTCTCCCTCTCTTAGTGCAGGCGGGCGTACCAACAGGTGCGAAGGCACCAAAGTTTCTAGCTGTGTCTTAAATAGAGAGCATTTATATGCCTTGCTCCCATTGAAACATTTGATCAGCAAAACATGAACTATCACTATACGAATTCCCTTTAAAATTGACCGGCGGGCAAATGTTTTGCCTGGTACTTTGGGGGATATTTTCTTCTGGAGAGCTTTTTGGGGGAAAGTCGGACGACAAAACAAGCAAACTCGGGCTGCCGAATACGGAATAGTAAGATAATATAAGAGCGCATAGACTGTTTAAATACCATTTGAATAGGATGTAATATAATATTGTACTGTAATAGTATGCTTTGATCCCACCTGACCCATCTGGTAACCCTGCGCGCCAATATTCTGAATAGGGATATTCCGATTTGATCTTTTTTCGTTGTGCAACCCGCAGCCGATTCCCGATACTGTGAAAAGTATGAACTAATCTTCACCGTTACCTGTTGACTGTTGCCTGAGAGTATAACCGTGGCCTAACGAGAATTATTCCTATTTTGACGTTCCACAGCGATAAAGCTGTTATTTGTGGTTACCTTTTCTTCAGTTATCGAAATACCGAGACCTTTACGAAATTATTTCTGCGCATCGGGGTGTATGTATTCAGATGAGTAGCAACCATTCTATTTTTGACTGAGGTTATTACAATAATTATGATTCCCGATGAGCTATAAATATGCAACGAAGGCTCTTCAATTTCAAAATGAACACAGCATATAAGATTTTTAATGAGCTGATATTTAGTATCTGCGTTTGCGAAATATGGAAAATACACGCGTGGTAGTTTTTGTGAAAAATAGAAAAGGGTATGTTATTTCTATGTATATTATTCAATGCTTTAAACAATAATGTTTTGCACATATTTTCGGATAAGCAATTAATTTTTTATCTGCTTGAATTAGTGTCCTGATTTGCAGTTTAAAGTGCATTCAGCATTGGAAATAGTCTTTTCAGTATAATATACCAAAAAACAGTCTTAAGTCATTGTAAAACAATGTAAAACTTAGACAAAATTGTGTTCATACCTCACTCCCGATTTTACAAGGAGAAAGTTTAAAGTTCTAGTCGAAGCAATGATCCCAAGTGAAGTTCTTACATTCGATCTATGAGAATTATATGACGTGGGTAACTTCTAAAATGTTGTTGGCTCTCGCATACGTCGGACGCTATTTAGATGTCTTTGAGAAGGTGCGGAAAGTTATTGTTCAACACAGTTAGAACAAGGATACAACAATTTTTGAGTAGACTATGAGATAGGCTAAATGTTACATATGTTTATGAGCGGTATCAAACAAGCCTTAATTCTGTGTATTGTATAAATAGTTTTCATCTGTGCCTTCTCAAATAACAGTACACTAAACACGGCTTCGAATTCGTGTAATATTTTCTAAAAGTTAACATTGAGGTGCTATCACCTTCCAACGACAGAATCAACCTACCGGAGGGTCAAGTCTTCAAAACGAGAATCAGAATAAAAAGTAGAAATTATTCAAATGCCTTTCTGACAGCTTTTGTCGTCTGTTTTCACGATCATATCATTAAATTTCGTCTTTAGAGATTGGACTGGCGAGACTCCTGCATTTTTTTCTGCCAAAAACGACCCGAATGTTAAAGAATTCAGTTCCCTAGAAGGTAATAGTTTCTTTGTACGGTTTTTGGCGATTGTGTCACGATGCCTCACGGGAAAACTAAGCAGATTGATTAACTGTACCACGTGCGGAACTTAACTTCTCTAAGGAAAATTGCATACTGCACACTTCCATAAAATACTTCACAATGAATTTAATGCAGTCATGGTAGCTGCATCTTCAGGCGTCACTATGTTTAACATCCAAGATCGCGAAAGGCACATTCAAGTAGCACGATGGTAAGTAAGTTGTTACAGTGACAGTGATAAGTATAAATGTGGAAGACTCATACCATAGTCCAGTCGAGATAGTCACAAATTTGTAATCTATTAGTTACAGGTCCTATAAAAAATAAGTGTGAGAGTAATCAAGTAAACTTTAAATAGTAAAATCGTTACAATAGTTATCAACCTAGCATGACAAAAACTAAGATCTTCAAAACAAACTTTCCAGTCAGAATCAGTTTGGCTTCGGAAAAACGAGACTTATATCTGCAAAAAAACAGTTGCGTAAAATTTTCGCTTAGCATCTTCACGATCATAGTAAAATGAGAAACATAACATCTCACTTATTGGATAATACCGCAGCATTCTTCATACTCTATGCGTATATGTAAATTTAATCTATAGATATTTGGCCATATAACTGAAAATGCTCTTAGGGATTGCCATATCGTGTGACTATCTGCCTAATAAGCTTTGTCAACGTATCGCATCGTTTCGGTCAATGTTTCATGTAACCTGTGGTGTAACCCTAGAGACATACCTTGACATAATAATATTTACCTCCATACGGATGTATTTATAAATACTATGTATCGTTAATTGTGATAATTGTACTTGTTACAGGTGCTAAACAATTCAGAGGATATCCTCGCCAGTATAGTGGCCGCAGTTGTGTCACAACCATCACCTTCAAAATGCAGCACCTTGTAATCAGAAAGAAAAGTCGTCATTAGACCAGGTATGTTACACCGTAGTAATAGTCGATATGTTGAATTAAGTACTCTACTAGAGTAATAATTAAGGGATCTGTCCTTTACCAGCATATCCTCAAAATCCACTAGAGCAACATGTTATATTGTTTTCCTAGATGTCCAACTTTGAGTTAAGAAATAATTAACGTGACGACTATTTGTTGAAACTTCATAACAAACTAGTACTATATTCATCAAATACATATAGTGACTGGCATCCAGTTAACCCTCAGTTGACATGTAATACGATTGTGAGCATGAGTTCATCGTGATTGTACACCAAAACTGTCCCAATTTTTGTGCAAAATAAATCACACAAAAGTGTGTGTGTAGATTACGAGGTAGTACAAGTTACGGTTCTGTTACTTGACAATACGGGCTCTTTTGAATGTAACTCAACGACTATCTATTAGTTGTTCTCGCATTTTGGTGTGTTGAACAATCGTGATAAATATGGTTATTTTATGCATACGGTTTTAGTTCCAGGGAATCTTTGAATGAAGATGGCAATAACTGGCTCGACACTCAACAACACAACATCAACAGCTTCAACAACAGGTGAGAATATCATCAACGACAATGCTGTCCAGGTGGCTTTCTTCATGATCTACACCGCCATCTTTGTCTTGGGCATCTTTGGAAATGTCCTCGTCTGCTATGTCGTTTTTAGGTATGGTATTTTCAGATATTATCACTAAATCACCAAAACAGTGATCTAGTAAGAACCCTTGAGAATCAGCTGTAGCAAAGCAAGCTTCTATACTTCCCGCGAAAAGGGATACACTAACGATGACCCCACGCCTGTTATCAGGTCATCACCGACAAGAGTCTTTATAGGATACCCATGGTAGATGTCAGTTTGTAGTGCGCAATAGCTTTCTTACGCTTTTTTAATCCAATGACCATAGGTGCTATACTGCGAATCGTAAATATGATTTTTTTCATCAACATTGCACCGATCGGCCGCTTGAATCCCGTAGAGTTCTCGATACCGGGTAGCACAGTTGTCAGTGTGGGAATACAGATTTTTTTTCCGAGTGATCTCGACTACTCTTATATATCTTATAGAGAAAACAAAGTACGTACGTATTTTGATAAATATTAGAATAAAAAATGAAAAACATATCCTTAAAGATGTAGCAAAAAATTTGGGTGTGCACCTTTGTTATTCGCTCAAGGTCTAAGAGCATGTCACATCTGTGTATAAAATAGGATACAGTAATTTTAAAATCATATAAAGGTTGCTTGGAAGGTCGATACTAACCATTTGAGGAGTGATAGTATAACCCCATTCGAAACACATTTAGTTTAAAGTCGAATTGTTTTTGAGTTCCGCGCAACTTTGTGACAGTATGGGTGTCGAGCCAGCTCAAGAATCGAATTAACAAAGTTTCTTTGGGATCCTCATAGCAGCCGTGGTGTCCTGTAATTTAGGTTTCAGCCTGCATGGCTGCTTCGGTGTAAAACAAACATGCTATAAAAAAGCACAAATCATAAGAATAACCATCGCTTGTTCAATAACGAAAAGAACTCCCTTTAGTTCTGTTTTTTCTCATTTTATACGAAGCGAACTACCATAATTTAGAATCAAGCGGAATGTATCTAAAATACAAAAAACATTAAATACAATCTCATGGATCAAAAAACTTGATATGGACAAAATTGTCCATATACTTACAAAAAAAATATGATTTCTCATGCACCCCCGTGTCAGTTTACTAAGAGTGATACTGCTTCACAGTATCGTTATACGTTTTCATGCACGCTAATTTTGTGGTCGCCAGATCTTGAATCCTGCTTGGATCTTAGGTGTCTACTACTATATAATACAACAACAGGCAATCAGAGACTGCATGAAGATTGATCAGAAATAATGGTTCGCGACTTTAAAATGAGCAAGTTAGTGCAATCACTATTATTTTATTACTTCGAATAATTGCTTAATTATAAGAAATGAATCACTATTGTTTTATTTTCTACCACCACTTCTGGGGTGTGTCGTTAACTTTAAAGTTGTAAATGTGAATTAGGTTCATGGGTATTTAACTTTATTTTCCTGCAATATTCTGAATTTGCGCAGTTGCCATATCCTCCCAGTGATTCTTCAGAGAAGCTACCCGGTACTGTAAAACCGAATCTCTCCTGGTTACTAATTACTACTACTACATGCATACGAAACAAGGGCGCGAAAATGCACAAAACTGATCATTTGTATTTTTTTATAGAGTAAATGAATCATTTTGTCACGGTTATTGATGGAAAATTGTTTGTACCACTTCGTTCGACAGATACCATACAAATGAGCAAAAGTTAGGAGAGTTTTTTTTTCGTTAATTTTAATTTACACTGTTGCCAATTTTTTCCATAAATTCGTTAGAAAAGCAACGAAGCACTGGAAAATTGAACCATTCGGTAAACCAACATTATTTTTTATAATATACACGGGATAATCCAATAACTTGGAAAATCTTTTACAGGAAAACTATACATGATGATAAATGATAAAATAGGAGAACAAAGAAGTGGTTCTACATAACAAGCGATGATCTATCCCATAATTTTGGATTTTTTCTAGGGTTCCACGAAATTGCGCACAACTCAAAAACCGACTTTGTGCAGAGATATATGTGGCTCAATGTATTCCAAGTGGAGTGTACTATCACCCCTTACAAGATTGGTATCCATCTTCGGAACACTCTGTATAATAGTAATGTAACATATGTCAATTTTTAGACATTCGCGAATGCGAATATCTACCGCCGATATTCGTGAATGCGAATGCCAATGCAAATATCCAGTTTCTCTCATCTAAACAACGCATCAAAAGATATTTGGAGGAGGAAAAGATGTAAAGTCTTTATTTTTCAGTTTTCACTAATCCATCAAGAAAGCTCTAAAGATCGAACATCGTCAAAATGGTGTAGCAATATTAAGCGAGAATAAATAATAAATAACCTTCTTTAAAGATGCACAAATGTGAGGGTATATCGTCTCCTCATAAATGCCAGTCTTGGTTTTGTTAATGTGGCCATTTACAACACTTCTTTAAAGATAGACCGTCAATATTCTCCTATGAGATTGATCGTTTATTTAGGTATTTCAATGTAATGATACTTTTCGTATTTTTGTAAATACTTATTCATGAGAGATATCAAAACTGAATTGTTGGAAAAAATGCATTTTGACCAGTGTAGTTGTTAGAGGTATGATATAAGTAAATAAATTGCAGTGGTCCGTATCTCATGGTTTTTTCAACTTTTATTCGCTTTCCAACTTCCAGGAATAAAGCGATGCAAACAGTGACGAACCTGTTCATAACCAACCTGGCCCTCTCGGATATCCTTCTATGTATCCTGGCGGTGCCCTTCACTCCTCTATACACATTCCTGGGTGAATGGGTCTTCGGGCGCATCATCTGCCACCTGGTATCATACGCGCAGGGCATCAGCGTTTACATCTCGACTCTGACTCTTACATCGATTGCTATTGATAGGTAAGATATAATTTGGGTCCAAAGTACTCATTAAACTTTTCCAATATTCCAAGTGTCGCCTACCATCTTGTTAATAAGTGGAACTCTCAGGTCCGATCTTACCATTGACCCGCGAGATTCTAAATTTTCGCCTATGTCACAAATTCGACCACTCACAAGAAGTTTTTGAAGGAATGGATCTAATGAATATCGTCGATTTCCTGTATCAAACTATAGAAAAACTATACCTACGATTTGTCTAAGATGGGGCCCTGATTCCCTTATTAAATCAAGGAATACTTCGTAAATGTGCTCAGGTATAAGTATTTGTTTCTAATTTGGTTATATTTTTTACAGCGTAGATATGAAACTTGTTTCGGATTGGTGGATCTTGTGCACATAGCCGCAAACTTTGTGTCAGTCCGCAAATGAAAAAAATATGTTTTTGTAGCTAAACGAGTTAATTTATGAAGTATTTCTTAATTTAATATGGTACTTAGGGGCTCATTTTATACAAATCGTGAAATGTTTCTCTAATTTGAGAGATGTTAGAAGAATTCGACATTAAAGAGCCCCGAAGGGCCAAGAATACTGCTAGAAGGGCCCCGTGATAGCGAAATTGAGGGATACGCCTGATGAAAATTGAAGAGGGAGGGTGTAGGGATGCAGGGAACCCGTGGAACCATTTGCGGGGCCCTTTACCTCTCCGACATTCGATGCACAGTGTATCATCTTAGATCCGCCTCTGATAAGATCTGCTTGCTTTCCATCTGTATTACAATGATTATCCGTATACAACTTTGTTCCATACTCGGCATAACAAGCGCATCACTAGATTTAGCCAGAACAAGTCCATCCTTTTGAAAATGGCCTGGAGCTGCTTAAATATCAAATGCAAAGCTTGATATGTTACGATTATGTTACTGTCATTTAACACTTTATTAATTGATATAATAATTGCATTGAATTCCTTTTTACTAGCTCATCACTTTTGGTTTATGTTAACGATTTTATCTTAATTATGAGTCAGTCATTAAATCTCAGTCACAGGGTACGCACACACTGTAATTCCGGTTCGGTCCATGTACACTATTGTTGGAACCAAATAAAGTTTTTTAAAAACGAAGTTTGAAGTTCTGACTACATAATTCGAAGAAGTAATACGACATTTATGAGTATTTCGTTTACATCGCTTATTTGCCTTACATTCTATATCTCCACGATCAAAACCTATACCGTACTGATAATTACTAACCAGCATGAAACAACATTATATGCGACTGGTCATAGTATTATATGGCCCGAACGCACTATAAAAGTACTGTTATTAGAGATTGGAAGCAAGTATTAGATAGTGCAAGCAATATAGGTTACCGGAAATGCTGTGGTAGGCAGAACAACTACCTCGCAGTACCTAACAACAAAGATTTAGCAGGATAAAGTTAACCATAATCGAATTGATCTTTTTCACTATGGGAGTAAATAACAAGTTTAAACATTTATTACAAGAGAGATGGAAAGCAAATAGGTCGTATTCAGCCTTTCTTTCATCATTTATGCTGCCACTGCTTTTCAACCATCCTACATAAAGTTCTGTTGTCCTCAGGTATTTTGTGATAATCTACCCATTCCACCCGCGCATGAAGCTGAGCACCTGCATCTGCATAATCGTGGTGATCTGGATATTCAGCATGCTGGTGACACTTCCTTATGGAGTGTACATGAAACACACCAACATCGGTAACTCCCACAGTACCGTCAAGAAGTACTTCTGCGACGAGAACTGGCCAAGCGAGGATTGGCGCCGGACTTTCGGTGGTATCACCACAGCGATGCAATTTCTCATTCCGTTTCTGATCATGGCGTTCTGCTACATTTGTGTATCCTTGAAGTTGAACGATAGGGCTAGGTCGAAGCCTGGATCGAAGAATTCTAGGTTAGTGTACAATTTTTCTCGAAAAGTATTATTAGAGGTTCGAACTTGAATATCTTGACAACAGTCAAGTCCGTTGATTAAAGCTTATTTCGATGAAGTGTCACTACCATACTTATAGTCCCTGATCAACGTATTGTACCTGAAGATAGCCAACCTGATAGTATACATATTCACTAGGGTGTATAAGGGCAAACAAATTTTTGTTCGAATTAAGATAGGTATACCCTCTATTTCTTCTATATGACTTTAACAACTAAAAAAATAAATATTATTGCGACCCGCACGGGTATTACGTATCATTTCGTGGGCTTCTTTTGACATGTCGTACGTTTTTTTTTTGACATCTCGTAGATTTTTCCACAAGAAGTCAACTTAGCACAAGCTGTTGTACACTCTTTGTGAACTCGTGCTGCTTAAACGTCAGCGAACAGTGATTATAGCGAGCAAACGTGGATTGAACTACTTGCACACTAAAAACAACCTAGTCTGCAAAATGACATTTCGTCGTTTTTTCTTACGTTTTTTAGGTTTTTACATAATAGCCGTACCGCAGGGGTATTATCCGATGAGCCGGCAACACCACAATCCACGTGACAAGAGCAGCAAGGTCAGCTGACAAAACTTAGGTCTAGCCTGAGCTACTGACCGAATCATTTCGAACGTAAGGCGTCAATTTTACAAGTATTCTGCAACGATTTCGGGAAAAATGTCGCTACGGATAGTCTTGTAGAGCCTAGTAGAGTATATTTCAACAGTTGTCTTGCGTGGCCATGTAATCTTTACTCGGGCCAATGATGCAATAAATGTTTTCCGTTTCATAAATATTGAAGCATATTTTCTCACCTGTAACTTGTAAACTTCACCAACCAGCGATTTTCTTTTCTTATCTCTCTCATTTTTGAAATTCAGCAAATTTGCATATGTAATTTCCAGAACGAATGAGTGAAAGTGGATCCGCAACTAATTTCTAGCTATGAATACATCTCAAGTAAGTGTATCTGAGACAAGAAACCAATGGCATTATCATCAACACAGATTATTATCACACAAATCATCACTATGGAACCTATGCACTGCCGTTTCCTTCGAGCTATAGTATAAAACTTGCAGCCTAGACCTCCAATAATGCCATCTCTGAAGCAGATATTAAATCACATCAGAGCTTAACATTGATAGCTAAAGCATCATGATGTTTAGGCAACACGTACAGCTACAAAACGAGTTCACAAGTCTACAACAGCTAGTACTAAGTTGACACCTTTTAGAAAAACCTACAAAATGTAAAAAATGGACAAAATGTCACTTTTCAAAATACGTTGTACCCGTACGGGAAACGATCGGCCAAGCTTTGAATTTAAAAGTTAATAGGGAAACAATGTATGGTTATCAAAACCTAATTCTTCTATCATTAAAAGAACATTATTTACTAAATTTCCGTTTCAAACTTTTCTTTTTACAGTCAGGACATACCTGCCCGTGTTCTTGTACGCACCGCATTGTTTTTGTTCGTCATCAGAAGTGATTACACCATGGAAGTCTTGCTCTTTCTGTCATATCGTTACCTGCTCTCAGTGTTTGCACCTTATTCTCAGCGTGTTGAAAAGAAACATTATGTGACCGTGAAGTTGGACATCGTCGGAAGAACTGTCATCAATTTTGAGTCGACTGAACAAGGACATGCTTTTGATTGAAACAAAGTCATCGATATTTTTATACCATCTAAATATACTGATTTTGTCCGTCCGACCACAGACAGTCAACCATAAACAGATGTTTTGAGCTTTTTGGCAGCTCATCAGCAACGTCTAGGCTTGGCCTCGAGTCAGGACAATGAACGAAAGCATAGCAACTGACATCTATCTGAGGTATAAGATCTATCGAATCAAGACAGTATAAGGTGCCGTCTCTTGCCAGAATCGCTGTTTATGCTGGTTTATTTTAACAGTTAGCACATTATATCGAAGCAGTAAAAGAAGACAAACGGAAATTTATTCGTCAGACTTACCATAAAGTGAGCCAGAAAGTTTTTACATCAATTTCCTCATCTACGTCGACGTCAAACAGAGATAAGACAGAGACCTCACCAGCCAAATACCATAAATGTTGGCCGAACTTTTATAAAGCTGCTTTTTAAATCGTTTTGTCAATTTTTTGGTAAGCCTTCAATGCCTTTAGAAAGCATAAATCCTGATTAAGTGCTTTTACCGCTAAAGTGCATTGCAACCATAGCTTCACGTATGTTGTCACGATGAGCAGGCAGATATCTAACAGAGCTAGCTGCCTTATCTTAATTCGAAAGTTTGAGATTGTAACTTAGTAGCACTATTTTTAATGAATATATGGCTCCGGCAATCCATCGAGCTTGAGGTATAGCGCTTGGCCGTCGAATTTTAAATGTTTTCTCTGTGTCTCCGCCAATATTATTGAAAGTTCTATTAATTCTCGATAGTGGTGGCTGTATTTTATTAAATTAAAGATGTCTATATCGTACATTTCAAATTTATTTTTTGCAAAACACGGAAGCAGCACTTACTGTTCTGTGTAACGGAGGATCTTTTAGGTATATGGGTGAATATCAGTTATTGGGGAATTCAATGTTCCTGCAAAAAAATCTTAATCCAATGGACAAATTGTGGAAATAGACCATTCAAATAGTGGAAGATGTCAATCTTTATTTGGAACATATGACGCAATTGAGGTAACCATTAAGATTTAGGAAAAATCTGATTGAAAGTTAACAAAATGTATACTCCCCTGGCATGTTCCATTCCCAAATTTCACTTCAAACATCAATAAATCTCTGTATTATGTACTGGTATAACAATAAGCGGATACTCTTTGTATTACCTAATACATCTGATAACATATTTTCGCAAAAAGGCACACTAAAAATATACATAAATGCGTTAAAAAGCCCGTTTATTAGTGGTTCCTGAGAACAGTGTCACCCTCACCTGGCGCAATTCAAATTGCATATATTCATCAAAATATGGCAACTATGCGACTTTACCTTGAGCATCAAGAAGCAAATGAAGAAGGGATAGTGCGAAACTATCGTAATTTGGAAAACGAAGACCAGGGACGCCTCAGTAGCCCACTAACAGTCGTCCGATACCCTTTTGCCAGTGAGTGAAGCATTTCCCCTGGTAAGCATATCTTTGTGAATTTAAAAGTTACATTTTGGCGACTTTATAAAAAATTAAGATTTTTGAATACAAAAGCCACGAATCACGTTAAAATAATATAATAATCAACATATCTTGCTTTTTTGGGGCTTACGCACGTTTTTGTCACTTCCCTGGCGTCACTCCCCTGGCATTTTTTATGTCAGGGGAAATACACACTGCCCAGGGGAAATACAAAGGCACCTTTTTGTATAAGATGTGTAGCTACTATACCAAATTCAACTTCAAGAGGCAGTAGATCTGAAATAGGTCAGGCATGAGAGTCACCGCCGCCTTCGGACCATGAAGATCCACACTTCGATCCTCAAATATTGGACAATAGAGCTTCAGGTGCCAATAGACCCTCAGAAAAACAGAGGAAACGGATAAATGAGCTTATCAAAAAACAAAAAAACGAAATTGATCGATTAAAACACAAGGTGAAGAGATTTCAAAGGAAACTAGATCACGTAAGAAGTCTAAAAATGTCACCAAAGTCGAAAGTGGACCGATTACTAAAAAAAAAAAACGAAACCAAGTAATCAGGAGAACGTGGAAGAAGCATCTGTCATTCAGTAAGGTAGTTCAAAATCAACTAAAAGAAAATATAAAGCATACCAAAAAGAAAAATGAGAAGACACGTAAAGTATTGAGTGGTAGGTTTGTTAGAAAGTACAATGTTTTAAGTCAAATTAATATGAAGCCTGTGAAACGATAACCCACTGTGGGAGAGGTTTGATAGACGTGACAAGGAGAACAAGAATGAATGATACTAGAGAGAAGGTAAAGAACGTAATTAAATTTGTTTTTGAAGGAGACTGCAACAGTCGCTTATGCGCAGGAAAAAATGACTACATTACGAAAAACAAAGTAAAAAACAAAAGAGGGTTTTACTAGACTCAATGAAGCATTTACACGAACGGTTCGTTAAAAACAAAGGAGTGCCGATAAGTTATACTTCATTTTGACGTTTGAGACCTTTTTGGATTGTATATCCAAACGTTCATAGAAGAGAAACATGCTTGTGTGTAATTCATGCAAATATGGAGTTGATTTTGATCTCTTTAAGAAGAACGAAAATTATAGGCTTTATGAGTTTTCAAGCAATGCTAAATTACTATCTATCGCATAACATTTCCGACATAAATTTGGAAAAGTATTAGAAAGGCTGCCGGTGCCAAATATAGTAATGAGAGGAAATAGATTATTTTATAAATTCACACTCCTATACCTGTATTCGAAAAATGAGTATCTACTCGAATTCATAAAAAATCGGGTTATACCTATGTTAATTTTATTTTTATGCTAGCTACCATTTTTTATTTATAAGCACTGATTGCGATTCAAAGACTGACCATAAGTATGATGTCAATTTTTTGTCTTAAGTTTTTATAATTTTATTTCTATTATTATTATTATTATTATTATTTTTATAGCCGTAGGGCTTTGTTACTCCCGTTAATCGGGGTGTTCTGGCTTAACCGGGACGTTTCAAGCATCAAAGGGGTAAGCCTCAATAGTGACCTCACTAGGCATTTCCCATAAATTTTCTTACTATGCGGGCAGTTGCCAGCAAAACTCCTTTCTGTATGATTTTGTAAATGTTTTCACTCAGCTCCAGCGCTTTGATGTTTTCTAGCAGCCTTCTTGGTATCACCCCTGTAGATGACATTATTATTGGTATTGTTTCCACGTACTTCATTTTCCACTGGCGTTTAATTTGAAATTCTAGCTCCCTGTATTTTGCAACTTTCTCATTATGTTTGTATGTTATTATTATTATTATTATTATTATTATTACTCAGGTACCTACATTGCTATCTATATTAAGTTGCAAGATATAAACAGCTATAGTGGTTTTTATTTATATTAGTTCTTGTGTGAGCAGGGTTCACTCAGTTGATCCAAATGTTATTTTTTAAGAGACTATTAGAACATGTAGGATTTTGTTATTTTGAATAACTTATTTACCTATTGGTATTTATATTCTTTTATAAAGTGTCCTTTAAGATCATTCACATGAGAAGTTGTCACTCTTCTGTCTCAGTTTGTCACTACCCTGTGTATAGTGTCACTCCCCTGACTACACATTTTCCCCTGGTAGCTGTAAAAACTCTAAAAATCAAAAAACTATCTGGTCCTGTCAAAGATGCATCACAAATAGTATAATCTTAAGAGGTAATGAATATGAAACTGAAATGAGTAATTTTTCTTAGGTACCACTAAAAACCCAAATACCTGATATTCACCCATATACTCATCATAAAACACAGCAAAGGCAGTTACTGTGCTTTGTAATGGAATAGTTTGTTTTATTAATTTTTTAAGCCTATGAAAAATTAAACTGCTGTCTTGATTCGGGTCTACAGGCTGCCGTCTGTTGGAATTTCTTCCTAACGTTTCGCTAGCACGAGTGGCAAGCTTCTTCAGAGGTCCTTCCATTTCCGATGCTGGATGTAGACTGACGATTTCTCTAGCGCAGGTTGTATTTATACCGGAGGGTAGGTGACGTGGCTTGTTCCGCTTCGGTTGACTTCGGGATGTCGATCGGCAATGCTCGGGCCTTTCTGAGGATCGGCAGCCAGATCGGGTTGAGTAACTGAGCATCTCTTCCTTCCTGTTGAAGTTATCTGGATGTTTGTGAATCTCGATAGCTTTCCTGACCAGTCTATTGTGATAGCCGTTGCCTGACGACAGCAACCTGCAGCTCCCCAAGTGTATCGTGTGGTCCCCATTGCTTAGTGCATATTCAGCTACCGCAGACTTCTCAGTTTGTCCTAGCCGGCAATTTGCTTTGTGCTCCTTGAGTCTCGTTCCCATTGATCTTTTCGTGGTTCCAATGTATACTTTGCCGCATGAACACGGTATGCGGTAGACTCCTGCAGCTGAGAGTGGGTCCTTCTTGTCCTTTGCCGATCTGATGGCTGGTGGCTCTGAAATGATTTTTAGTGGCTTCAGGAGTGGGTAAATCTGCTAAGACTGTACGAATCTGAGGAGTTTGTCCTTCTTGACCAAAAACTAATTTAAAGGGTGAATAGCCAGTAGTCTTCTGTTTTGTGGTGTTCATTACTAGTTGGATTTGTTCGGCCAATCTGACAATTTCTTTGATTCAATTCTCAGCAAGTTTGTTATGGTTCGCATGAATCGTTCTATTTGGCCGTTGGAGCGATGTACACCAGGGGTTGTCACGTGAACCTCGATACCAAAGTGTTAGGTAAATGCTTTGAAACTTTTAGCGGTAAAATTAGTGCCAGCATCGTGGATTAGTTTTGCTGGGGTTCCGAATATACTGATGAAGTTGGCAAAGCTTTGCCTGGTTTCTTCGGACGTAACAGTGGACTGGGGGTAGAGAAGGCAGAATTTTGAGAAGGCATCCACCAGGACAAATATGTACTTATAATTGCTTGGATTTCCAGGTAAAGGACCAAGACAATCACCATGGATTATATGAAATGGTTCGTTAAGCTTTGGTACAGAGGTGAGGAAGCCTTGCTTTGGACCAGTTCGATTTTTCCGAACAGCACATAGTAAACAATGTTCAACATATTTCTTAACGTACCGAGCCATATGAGGAAACCAAAAGTAGCGTTTTAGTGATTTAAGTGTTTTTTCCCAACCTACATGACACTGATCATCATGGAATATTTTTGAAAGATTATATCTGTTATTAGATGGTACAAACGGTAGTAATTCTATAGATTTGTTGATTTCAGTTGAAATAATTCGAAACAATGTACCTTTTTTGAATTTATATTTTCGGATGACATCTACCTCGTTATCATTTGAAGATTTAATGATTTGTTTGCACTCCTGGTCTCGACTTTGTGCAAAAGTAAGCCAGTTTTTGTAATCATCAGATGTTAAATTAACTTGAACCACAGTGTCGGTCGGATTTCTACTAAGGAAGTTAACATGAGATATTTCGGTACCTTTTCGGTAGACTATTTCGAAGTCAAAGTCTTGCATATAAGCCCACAAGCGCGCTATACGTGGTTTTAGGTACTTCTTACCTGCAGACAACTTAAGGGAATTGCAATCAGTAACAAGAGTGAACTTTAAGCCAAGTAAATATACTCGAAAGTTTTTTAGAGCCCTAACGACAGCCAGAGTCTCTAGTTCAAATGAATGGTATACAGCTTCCTCGGGGGATGTTTTCTGGCTGAAATATTCAACTGGGTGGAAAGTATTCCCATGTTTCTGTAACAAAATGCCGCCAAAACCGATACTGCTGGCGTCTGTGTGCGACTGTGTTTCCAAAGAAGGATCAAATATGGACAATAGAGGTTTTTCTGTTAGGACATCAATAATGTATCGCCATGTCTGTTCACATTCTGACGTCCAAGCAAAGTCAACATTATTCCTGGTTAGATTAGTTATGCAGGCTACTCTAGAAGAAAAACCAGGGATAAATTTTCGGAAATAACTGGCCAATCCAATAAATTTTCGAACCTGCTTCACATTAGTGGGGGCTAAACTGTCTTTGACTGCTTTAGCTTTATTAGGGTCAGGTTGGATACCATCAGCTGAGATTACTCGCCCTAGATAGGTGATACTCTTCATGAAAAAACAATTTCACGTACGTTTTGGCGTTCAGATTCCGACATACGGTAGGGGTGATGATAAATAGTTTTGTTTTCAGTTAGAGTAATAACTAACTCGCCAGTGTTTACGACACGGAATAGCTTGCCGGAGGTAGTTAACAGCTGAGAATAGTCTTCAAGTGATGCAAGTAGCCTTACTTTATCATGAAAGTCCAAATCGGTAACTACTTCTGGGCCTAGATTATCATAGGTGGTATTGATGGGTATAGGTTCACAAAAAATTTGTTGCCCCTTTTTATCCTTGATTAAAGTTACGTTATTTTCATAGACGTTTTCACCTATAACAACATCATACTTAGAATGATTTTGTGGTACTACGACAAAATCAAGTTTCAATTTTGTATCAGAAATTTCCACTAAGGCATTTGTAACAAATTAAGAATTAATAGTAGTACCCTCAAACCACTGTACGCTGTGATACGCGGTATTTTATCAAGGTTCAATTTTTCAACCAGCGTTTCACTAATTAATGAACATGTCGAACCAGTATCTACTAAACAATTTGTACAATAACCTGATATTAGAATTGGCAACGTCTTCAAACATCTACCGAGCTCAGAAGCATGATAATTAAGGAAAAGTTGTTCCCCTTTGAATTTCTTATCTACACTGGTTTCGCCGCCAATGTCTCGAGCACGTTTGTTTTGAC